AAAAAAAAAAAAAAAAAAAAAAAAATCACCCAACGAAAGCAAGCCACAGTCCAGGAACAATTTTGATAGGATCTGTTTTTAGAATTTTTTTTTAATATCATCTATAGTAGTGTTATAAGCTTCAAATCAAATTTAAATCATAGCAGAAGTAGGAAAAGTTAATATTGTATGCATATTTTTTCCATGTTAGTTACAGATGCTATTGCTTACTTTTGTTGGCTCAGTTATGTTCCATCAGGTATAAACATTTTAAAATAAATCACTGTTAAAGGCATATACTCGAACATTTACAACAGTTTTCCGACTTTCAGTTTTTAAAACCTCCCCCTGTACACAAATGGATGAAGGCACAGTATATGCAGGCTCACAGCTTTCATATTTAAGTCTTTTGTTGCAACTGTTCCACCTGTTCTCTAGCCCTCTAAGAGAAAGAATCTTGAGGACTCCACTTTGTGAAAAGAAAGCTTTATGAAAAGCCTGAACGATGAATACTAAGGAGAAAATGAGAAACATTAGGTGCGTGAATTAGGAAATGTTAATTTCATGCACTTTAGGAACACACACTCACACCCCACAGTAGTAGAAGTAGTAGTAGAGGAAAACACTACATGTGTAGGGGTAGAAATATTTGTTACATCATGATGCTGGCTGGCGATGGAGGGTTGCCGCCTTAGAGCCCCCTGAATGGTACTTCCACTCTGGAAAGCATTCACTACATCCATCTGCAAGGAATCAGAGATTGTGACAGCTTGCTCAGCAAGAGAGAGAGAACAAGAGAAAGGACCATCCCATCTATGACACACAAAAAGTAAAAGAGAAAAAGGCACTTTTTACAGAGTAGATATACAGGCAAGAGAGTTTTATTTAGAGCTGAAGAAAGTGAAAAAAAAAGAGAGCTTGAGGGATTACAGAGTCATCCATACGCAATCTTGAGGAGAAAAAGAAAGTCACGTGGTTTAAAAGTCACCTTACTGGGTGAAAAGGAGGGAGGGGGCAATTTATTTAGAAGTCCCTCAATCCCCAGGTCCTACCTTTTTCCAAGACCATACCTGAGTCTGTATCCTGTTCAGGCCCCTAAACCACAAGATCTGACCACGACGCAATTCTCTTTCAGCATGATCAATCTCTTCTACATCTTCTGCTAATTCTTCTTCAGGAATCTCATCCTTCTGTGTTCCATGGCCAGCTTCTTTAAGGAATTTCAACCGGCTGGTTGGAATTGTTGAAATCAACTTAAGAGGGAAAGATACATAAAGTAGTAAAACATTTTGTCCTTCAATTTAGTTATATAATAAAGTTGTTTCAAGTTATACTGAAGATTACTTCACTTTTAAAGGCTTTGCTTGAAAAGATGCAGCTATGTTACAATATAAGAGCCAACAGCCCAATATTATTTATTCAACATTGCTGTAAACCCTCCAGAGAGCTGCAAAGCTGATGAGAGAGTGAGTTAAGCATGAGAAAGCCAAAAAAAAGTCAGCTTGTGCTTAAGATCTTCCCCAACTTTCCCTGCATTTGATTTCAGTTTCTCATACTACTACATTAGTTCAGCATACAACTGCATTGCCTTTTTTACTGCAAGTGACCAAAGGCTAAAATATTAGATTCTATAGATTGCATGCACTGGTCCATTTAGTTTTGGGGGTGGGGCTCATTTAAAAAAAAAGGTAAAACAGGAAGTTTCTGGCAAGTGGTAGCTCCCCCCCCCCCCCCCAATTCAACATTAAATGTCTAGTAGGGGGTAGTAAAGGGACCATACGTTTAAAAAAAATTAGATTTTGATTCCTCTGTAAATAGTTCAGAAGGTACCAACAAAGCAAGACGCACATACAAGTTCCACTGAGAATTTGCAAGACATGACGGAGCCCAAAGCATGGAACAGCCAGAATGGCTGTCCCCAGGTAGACTGTGGTCCACAGCAGGATTTGTACCAGCTAGCATCCTGGCTGAATTGGACAGAGTCAGGAAGCCAACTGAGAGGCTGCTCTTGGCTTCTTTCCCTGTCTCAGACTCCCTCCTTGGACAGCTGTAAATCTAGGAAGAGCCAGATAAAAATAATTCAGCCTGCTCTACTCTAGGCTCCCAAGCTCAGAAAGGTATAAGGAAGCCAGATGCTCCTTTTTTTCCCCTTAGCCATGGAGCTTTTCAGATATTGCACCAGAAGATGTGACAACAGCTACCAGAAGGTTCCCAGCTCGCACTAGAACTGCAAGAGGACAATGGTTGATAGCTAGGAATGTAATACACTTACCTTTCCATAGGAATATTGGTGGGAAAAGTGATATGGGAGGAAGAGGTGACTCAAGCTTCAGTTAAAAAAGTGTTAAGGCACTCAAGAGAACAAATTCACATTTGTAAAATTGAGTACAAAGTAACTCAAAAACCACAATTTGATCAAGAAAATTTAAGGCTTTGGTTGGACACAACTTTAAAAATTGTACTAGTTACATAGTTACTTTCAAGCATATAGAGTGACTGTGTAGGCCAATTTTATGGCAAGATAATCATGTTCAAGTTTGGCTGAATAGTTCTCTCTTTATGCATGTTTGCAAGTATCATTGGTAAATAATCAATTTTGTTATTTCTGCTCAGACTCTGGACTATGAGCCCATTAGCCCCTTTTTGAAAAAACTGATGCAATTATGCTATGAGGTAAATCTTCTCATCTCCACCCACTTAGCGTCAGCTGAGTAGTGTCTATTGCCATTTCTTGCAGAAGTGGGCAGATTTAGTTCTCCCATGATCTTTAATGAGCCCAGTTAAAGTGGGTTGGATAGAGAGTTCAAAGCCAAGAGTCTTGCAAGACAAGGTATAGCTGGATCACTAACTGAGGACAAGAAAAGGCTGAAGTGTCCAGATCCCTTCATCCAGTCACCAATTCAAGCCCCAGGAGTGCTAGTTTATTATATGGGTCTTGTCAAGCTCATTCATACACAAGATCCTGTTTTGCTGCATGGGAATTAAGTTCTATGCTTTGAACGCAAGGGCAAGCCATTTGTTTCCACATCATGATTGTGCATGGACAATATATGCACAGTTTATACTCAAGCACAAGTCTGTTGTATATGAAAGTGCCCCTCGCACAATGTGATCAAAAGCCTGATAAAGAACGTCTTGCATGACTAGTGGGGTTAGAGTTGTAGCTGTGATGTCTAGGACATGTAGAAGAGGCAAGGTTTGTGATGCCCAACTATCTGGTTGGTAAAATAAAAAGCAAGTTAGACAATCCTTTGGGCACTTCTCCCAACTATGCAGTTGGTTCAATAAAGATCACAAAAACCCTCACTTCCGGTATATGGGTAGTGAAAAGTAGAAAAAAAGTTTTTCCAAGTCCAAAGTGTAGTCACAATTACAGTGTGATGTGGGGAGGGCAGTTAGGGCAAGTCTGCTCTCTCAAGTGAATTTATGGATATGTATGTACCATAAGAAAGCTCTCTCTTCATTAACATTCTACTCATGCAAGAAGCTTCCAAGAACTTCATGTTTATAGATTTCAGTCCTTATAGCTGTTCCTGAAGTGCTGAAAGTTATTTTAGTTAATCAGAGGAAACAAGTTTTGAAAAACAGTATCTCGCTATAAAAAAGCCCCAACTACATTGTGTTGATATTTCTAGTTTAACTATTCTTAATATCAGCACAGTCCCTTGATACAAGAGGATGGTGGTCTTGCAGTAGACAGAAGAGTAGAGTAGTCTGAATTGATAGAGGACTAGGGAGACTAATCCAAGAGCCGCATGTTAGGAGTCTACACATGGCAAGTAGTTCTGAAAGAGGCGTAGAACCCGGTAATGTCTGGCCACAGATTCCTTCCCTTTGTCTCTCCATAGTGATGAGGTAAGTTTGCTTGAAGTGATCATTACTGCACCACAGGGGATGATTTAGTTCCCCGAGTCTCATAACATTAATTTACAGAGACCTTCAAGGCATCCTCTTCTTTCGCCCACCTCCAGAGCAGTGACCATTGGTGAGTTGTGAGCATCTTTATGACATGTCCTGCCTAATGGAGCTGGTGCCATATGAACATATTCCACATCTTGATGCGTTTGCTTAAAATCAGGAACACTGCTGTTCATTTTTCTGTTCTTCTAAAAAATTGCTGATAGTAACATCTAAAAGCTTTCAGGTGGCTCCATGCTGTTCATGTTTTAATATCACCCACTGTTAACTAGTATTGCCATTGGTTTTGCGCACACTGATTACATTTACATACCTTGAAGCTTTGGTTCCTACATATGTTAAAGCTGTTCTGATATTTTTAGTAAACTTCAGATATTTGAGCAAGACACTACAACCGAGAGGCACACTGTTCTAAATCTGGCACTGGTAAGTTATGCTTAACCCAATACTTGAACTGTAACTAGAAAATTGCCATCTGTTCACTCCAAGTCTATGTATATGTAAATGCATACAGTCTACTGCATTGCATGCAACAAGCTTTAGTTTTGTTTAGATGCATTGATGTGGTGCTTATAAGCAGGATAACAACCTAAACATGTTTGTAAAATAAAGTTAAAAAAAATTTAGTGACTTTCATTCTACCAAGATAGTTAGCTTGTACTAAAGGTTTACCTGGCCCCAGAGTAGTGTTCCCATACCCAGGAAAATGGACCACAGCCACTGTTCTACTGTAAGTTCTGAGCAACTAAAAGGTTTCCCACCAAACTGTACAATGATTATCTGTGGGGGGGGAAAAGGCATAGTAAGAGACCATTTGTAGAATACTGGGAAATCAATAAATCTATGCAAGTCTTTTAAACAAAATTTCCAAAACTTCTTACATTAAAAAGTATTTGGAACCTTACCATGAATACCATCTTCAAACAAAGAACAAAAAAACTTAAGTTTCTAAAGCTAAAAGAAAAACAATTCTTTCCTGTTACTTGTACTTTTAGTTAATTTACTTTACTATTTCAAGTTAAAAGTATTTTTCTTCAGTCCTGCATTTAGAAACACCTAGTGGCCAACCACCACCAGATTTTAGGCAGGCAAAAAGCCTTGTGATCAGTTTTTGTTCTTTATTTCTAACGTGACTGATTTATAGCACAGAACACAAGTAGACTTCTTTATACAAAATGGACTGTAAGTGGACTTTGTTACTGTTACTTAGAATGAAACTGGTCTAGCTAGTTTACAATACCAGTCATAGTCCATAGGTAAGTACAAGCACTCAAACATCATTTCTGAATCTCCAAATTTGAATCTTACTGTCACTATGCATGTACAAAAGGTTAAGGAGTTGGTCAAAAAGCAGTGGCAAACCAGAAATGTGAACTGTGGTAGTTATTCATGCATTGTTTAGTAAAAAGGGCAGCCAAATGTTTTTGCTTTAACTAAATTTTCCACAAGGCCCTAAAAAAAGTGACAAAGATCAACATTTGCTTACATCTGCTCAACTGGCATTTAGTTATCCCAAATATCTTTATTTTCCCCCTTAATCTTCAAATTATATATTTTTTTAAAAGTTACTGCATTTCAGAATCTTAAAATGTTAAAGAAAAAAGCATGAAATCATACAATGACGACTCAAGAGAAGAGCAAGCCAGCTTTGGCCTTTGTTTACTATTACATGTATTAGTTTGGAAAGAACACATGGGACTTAGATGAAAATGTATTAAGATGACCTATACTACGATCTGACCAGTTCTCCATACATTTTTGTTCCACATACAAAAATGCCTGTCATCATAAATACCAGACTAAATTAACAGTGCTTACAACTGTAATTGCAAGATGCATTCAAATTTTGGTCTTGGCTGGGTAATTTGGTTACCATTTATTAGAGACGGTAAATAAAACAATGCACACAAAAAAAGGTTGGATTTCATCACAGCACAAGTTACTTCAAGATTCTGATGCACATTGTTCTACATAAAAAGACAATAGCTATAACCTGCCATTAAAGATCTACAATCTTGTAAAATTCTTGCGATTTACAAGAACACAACTAAGGCCTGAAAATTACAATATTTCATTGAAAGGAATAAGTGGTTTTGGACAAAAATTAAACTCTACGGGAGAGGAAAAAGAGGCAGGGTCCTTAATTCAAGGAAGCATTTGATATTAGCTCTCTCAAGTATTATAAAAAGTTGAATACTGCATAAAATAGACATCTATAAAACCTGAACAGTTTACTTTTGAAATATTAATGAATTTAAGTAACAAATTGAAACATTAGCAATAAACTCTTTAAAATGACCTACCTGTACAATAAACGTGCCAAGAACAATAATACAGAAGATAGCATTGTTGAAGATTCCTTCAAACACATTTCTTTCACCGTGGATTTTTCGAGCATTAATTTCGTTAAAAAGCTGCATCATCACAAATGTATTAAACACAATAGTGTAATGCTCTGAAGGAGGAGCATGAAGAGGTGCATTTCTTCCACTATCAATATCAAACATTTTCTCACCTGTTTATAAAAAACAGTATTGGAATTCAGGTGCACAAGTGTATACACACACACACACACACACACACACACACACTAGGTCATAACTGTCAAAAACTGAGGTTCCATAACAAGAGCTGTACATCTAGTTTTTAGTATTGAGATAATCTAACAGCTTTAACCTATGGAAAGTTAAACCTTTACAAAAAAAATATTCTTACCAGCAAACAGGAGAGTAAAGACTACCACAAGTTGATAGAATGCATGACCCAAAATATTCTTCATCATTGTACGAGAAATTAGAGGTTTATTTCTACCATAAGGTTTCCGGAGCAAGAGAGATTCAGTGGGTGGTTCCGTTGCCAAAGCAAGAGAAGCCAATGTGTCCATTATCAGATTTACCCACAACATCTGCACAGCTTTAAGTGGAGAATCCTATAAAAATATAAGTTTCCTAATAGATAATAAATATCCTAAAAACAAACAAGTTACAAGCATCAAGTACATTTATTATAGAGAAGTTTGGTGGTGTGCTTTTAGAAGAAAAACATTCTTCAGTACAACACTGAAAATAAAGGCAGTTTCAGTATGAAAGTCTTAACTACCTAGTTATAATCTTTAAATTATTTCAAACTACCATCAATACCTACTTGTGTTATACATGCTCCTGTGAAAGCAACAATTACTGCTACTACATTGACAGTAAGCTGGAACTGAAGGAATTTGGAGATACTGTCGTATACATTTCGTCCCCACATAACTGCTTTAACAATGCTTGTGAAGTTGTCATCCGTAAGAATAATATCAGAAGCTTCTTTAGCTACGTCTGTTCCAGCAATACCCTGTTAGGAAGATATAACATTGTTTGTTCCATGTGTTGTCAACAATCAGCATGATTACATGCTTTATTATTGTTAAACTGCAATTTAACAAGAAGGATATACTCATGCAGGCATTACATATACAAGAAATGAAGAATGTATTGTAAAGAGAGAATCAGACTTGAGATCCAGAAAAGCTGAAAACTGTTAGTGTTCATATGGCATATCACATTAAAGAGGAAAGAAATTTAAACTTGATGATTGAGACAGTCAACCTTTAGCTGACTTAAAGGCAGAGTAAGGTCTGTGAGTAAATCCCCATTTAAGGCAACTTCAAGTGCTCAGAGTCATTAAATATTGTAACATGGCACTAATGTATGTTTACGGGGGGGGGGGGG